TGCTATTCATATGGAGAAGAAAGCTTGAACATTTCAATTCTGTGAACACTGAGGTCACAGAACAGTTCCAGGAATTAGACAGTGGAATGTATCCACATCTATATAAGTCTCATGATAGACTGTGGAGCTTTTAGCTATAATGAGTTGAATACTCAGAAGCCCATAGGTATATCAAGGAGAAACACGCTTGAAAAAACTAAAGCCAAGAAATGGAAAGCAAAGCGTTGCCTCAGGTCTGAGCTACAAGTAAAGCTACAAATATTATTTTTTTATTAATATACTGAACTTTAGGCATAGAAAAGGGAAAAAAAAATCAGAGATACGAAGCTAGCAGTGAAGTGACAAAGTTTGCCAGTAATGTTGGGACATTTGGAATAGAAAGAAAAAGTGCTGACTCTGAAGAACTCCAGAAAGACTTTATGGCGGTGAGAGTAAAGGTAAGTGAAATTCAACCTAAAAGATCTGTTGATGCATTTGAGAAAATAAATTTCTACCGCCTCTAGCAAGCTGACGGGTCCTGGAGCCAGCCACCCAGCAGCAGCCAGTAGCAGTTCCACAGAAGGGGAACAACCAGCCCCATGCTCAGCAGCCGAGGGGTGGGGAAGACACCAAACCAAAGCATGGCAGCCTCCAGATCCCTCTCCTCGGAGAAGCAACACAGCAACGGCGGGAAAAGCTGAGGAAACGGACCCGAAGCCGCGACCCCAACCTACAGAGCCCTGCGAGGCGCGGAGGGGGTGCCCGGGAATTCCTTTGATGAGGTTTCCTTTGAGATCTCTGGCCTCCTTAGGCTAAAAGCCTTACTTCATTTAACATAAAATTTATAAGGCATACTTAAGCCTATTAAAAGGTTTACAAAACTTTGTTCCAGATTATCTTCTCTCGCTTTCGACATGTACACTTAATACTTACTTTTTGATCAGCCTTTTGGTCATAACTAGCCGTTTCTTTTTACGTACTGCTGAAATTCGCCCTCAGTTTTACAAATGTTAAAATAAATTTGCCTAACTAAATGCATACAGGTAAAGAGTGGGAGGAATGTGAATAATCATGCCAAAAAAAAAAAAAAAAAAAGAGTAAAGCTGGAACTCAAGGGACTGAATAGGAAAGATACACTTGCAGGAGCAAAGTGTTACAGCGAAGGATGAAAACTGGGAAATAGATGGGTGTTGTGGTCAAGAGTATGTAGAGGTGGACATGTAGAATGGCAG